CATCATCCTCGGAAGCATCCTTGTTTTGAAATGCTTATAATACTTTTGCCAAATAGTTCATCTGTAATTCTTATAAACTTCATTACTTCCTTCTAATTAAATACGAAAAAATAGTAGAAAAAAGATGCACTTCAAAAATCACTACAGCATGTGTTTAAAGGCGCGATATATGTATGTATTAAAAATATGAAAATTAACTATATTTTATGGTGATATATGGTATTTCACAAACTAATTCATTCGTAAATCTTATAAATTTAAACTTATAATTAATTTAAAAAGAAATGGTTAAAAAGATTCAGTTCAAAAGCTGTTATAATTTTTAACGGAATATATAATAGTAATTTTCAAAAATTACTCACCCTGTCCTGCGATTTGCGAAGCACGCAAGTTTGCAGATATTTTTGACACAACATCGGACGCTAATTCCATATTGTTTTTTAACCACAATAGCCATTGCGGCGAAGACAAAATTTTATCCGAATTAGCAAGTATAAAATTCATTGCGGTTGATTTTAGTTCAGTATCTTCTTGAACTAGACTTAGTAGCTCGCAGACATTTTCCTCACATATTTCAGACTTTAAAGAAGCAAGACACTTTTGCTTAAGAGATAATGATAGTTCACAGCACTTGTCAGCTGCTGTAAAAAGAGCTATAACTTGCTCGCATTCAATTTTTTTTTCATTAGATTTCATTTCATTAGTACATAGATTTTCCAAAAATGAGTTCCAATTGCCTATTCCCGCAATAACTTCCTGGATTCTTTGTTTAAACTTTACTTCAGAAACTGGTGATTCAGTAAACGATAGAGCTTTATGATCTTCATCAACTTGGTTATTAACCACTAATTTTGTATCATAGCAGTTTTTGTTTTCAACTTTGCATTCCGACTTCAGTATCTCTCCTTTTAAGGTAGGGTGATTATTTGCATCATTTGCTATAGAATTATTAATATCATTTGAAATTGATTCAGTTGTAGTAAAGTGCGTCTCTTTGTTAGTCGAACACATGACGTCACAGAACAAAACGAACTTTTTATCTTCAACGTAATTATCTCTGAAGTTTTGCAATTCGCAAGAAAATACTCCGGATGGAAATGACCATGTACTCGGGAAATGATCGAAGCAATGCTTAGCTCTTTCAAAACATATGACAGAAGTTCCATCTTGCATAGTAAGCTTGCAATCAACGATATATCCTTTGCAATCTTCCACCTTCGATTTATCGTAATAAATATCGATTCGTAGATCAGTTTCATCACTCATCAGTACATTAGTTTCATAAATAACCATTTCAAAATTTGCAATTTTTGGAAAGTTTAATTTTTGCCTCGTGATATTCAACCTGCCGAGAGTGAATTGCAAATTGAATCTGGAAGTTAATCGGTCAACGCTTATCGTAGTGCGGCATAAATATCCGGTCAAAATTGGGGTAACAAAATTTTTACTACTTACGTAACAACAAATGGTTAAAACATCTTCAGAACTAGACTTTGCATCTTTTTCTATGTCTTCTATTTTGGCAAAATGAGAAGATCCCCATACAAAAAAAACCCATTGGTTTTTAAATTCTAGATCACGATATTTACGTGTTTTTATTAAGATACCACTTGTAGCAATAAGATCTAGTTTCACGTCAAATTTAAACTCTCTTTTCCATTTCGAAAAATCCGCCCTATCTCTTATTGTTTCGTCCTTCCTGTCTTCTTGTAAATAAAGTCCCACAAATTTTGCACTTTCATCTTCCTGCCTTGGATACAACTTAAGGTTCCATTTCATACCATTTATCCCAGAAATTTTAAAACTGGGACTGATCAAAGCTGAGTTAGTGTTCCTAAAACAAAAGGAATAGTTTTGAATAATCCATTTAAATCGGAACACATTACAAGAAGGTTGAAGAGATTTGGAACCAGTATTTCCACCAATTACACGTGCCATAGCTAAACATTTAGAAATTTCTCGAACTAATCTCGGTTTCTTCTTTTGAAAACAGAAGGGAAATATTTTTAAAATCATTATTTGAATAATCCTCAAACCTAAAGTAGATTATCTTATCTCCTTCGTCACCTGGGTGATGAGATTTCCTAACACGATCCCCTCTTTTAGTTATCTTTGTTTTTTTCGTTTTTGTTTTTTACAAAAAGAACTCGAAACTTATTCAACTACGAACTCACCTTTGCTTTATTATAACTATTACTTATACGTATTTATTTATTTTACAATAATTTTATTAACATTCTTTCGTGTTTGTGACGACGGAATCTTGCAAGACGAAATCTTGCAACAAAAAAACCCGAATCTTATTCACCTACATACTCACCTTTGCTTTATTATAATTATTATTTATACGCATTTACTTATTTTACAGTAATTTTATTAACACACTCTTTCGTGTTTGTGGTAACGGAATCTTGCAATAACATTTTTTGACTAACTAGAGCAATTAAATATCTACTAGAAGTTCTGTGCTTGATAACAATGGAAGTTGCAATTGTTTTCTGAACTTGACAAGTAGTATTCATTACAAAATTTTTCCGAAAAGGAACTTATCAGTCAATCAAAATTTTTGACAGCTTTTTTGATAGCTACAATGTTCACATCTCAACCAGAATTTCTATTAGATGACAATACAAGTTCTAATCATTTTTGACAGCTAAAAACATTTGTTTTTGTATTATTAAGGTCAAAGATAAAAGATAGATTTTTGTCAATCAGCATTTCAACCACTTGTCTTGCCAGAAAGCTGAATTTCAACTGGATGTCCATGCTTGATGCCAATGCAATTAAGAATTGTTTCTAAAATCTTCTTCTTCTTCATAAGCGCAACAACCTTTCACAGGTCAAGGCTAACTCGTAGATTTTCCTCCGTCTGGCCCTGTCCGGTGTGACAGCCCGCCATCGGTTGACTCTCAATAGCTTGAGGTCCTTTTCAACTTCGTCTATCCATCTTCTAGGTGGTCGTCCCCTACGTCTCGTCCCTTCAATTGAGGAAAAAGTCACTTTTTTGGCAAGGACGGATCAGAATTTCTGAAGAGGTGACCCAGCCACCTAATGCGTGATGCTTTAATAGTTCTCACAATGTCGGTTCCACCGAATTTGGCACATTTTTTTGTAAATTTCGTGGTTGTAAAGAATTTTCCTTACGTTATTTTCTTGGAGAAATCCAAAGATTTTCCTCAAAATTTTTCTTTCAAAAATTAGCAGTTTTTCCTTCTCTGTTTTGTTTAGGGTCCATCACTCACTGTCATACGTAACTATAGGCCTGATTTAAGTTTTGTAGATGTTTAACTTTGTCTTCATACTGATGAACTTGGATTTGAGTTGGTTTCTGAGGCCGTAGAAACTTCTGTTAGCCATGAAAATTCTGTTATTTATTCCGATTTTCAGGTTGTTGTGGCTAGAGATCAAGGTTCCTAAGTACTTGAACTGGTTAACAGTTTCAAAAGAGTAAGATAACCTGTATAAGAGAGATAACCTATTTCTAAAATATTGCAGGAAAAACTTGTCTTCCTTTTACCTCCCCTCTAAATTTTGAACACTTTGCAAAGTAAACAAATTAAAAGGTATAAATCTAGAAAGAATAAAATAAAATAAAAATTAAAAACATGTTTTTCAAGAGAACAAAAAGGAAATAAAAATTCGATCTCTGTTACGCCTTAAAAAAAAAAGCATCAGACTGTATCATTGTCATAAAAATCTTCAATTCTGACTGAAATCATCTCATATCTTCTACAAGAATAATGTGCTAACATTTTTATTTAGGCGTGGCAAACCAAATTTTAAAAATATATCTTTCCTTTCTACTTAATTAATAATTTTAAAAATTGTTCGCTGGTCAAAGACATGTTAATAAACATTTTATAAAGACATGTTACAAATTTATTCCTATTTGTCAATTTTTTACTTGATAAACGTTACATTATAGTAAAATTTTCCACGTTAGCAATAAAGTTTACATATTGATTCCTTATACTTAAGATAAGTATTTGCAATTTTTTCTTTTATTTGCAGTAACATTCAAACTTGGGAGACAATTTTTAACTTCCTTATCACTTTATTCAGAACAATTTTTAATATCTTGAAAGATACGGACATCTAATAAAAGAAAAAACTTAAAACATATATTTCATCAAAAATTAATTGCTAAAATTTCCAAGAATTCCTTTCTTTTAACTCTTCAAAGATTTATGACCCCCGTAATTTTCTCTTTTGTTACACAACCGTTTACAATTGAAATGAAATTATGTAAAAAAAAATTTATAGTTCCATTCCAGAAAAGTTGATTTTTAAAAAAATAATAATAATCATGCTTATCGTACTGCTTCTTTACCCTGTAACATGACCTAACCTCTTTGGCCCCGGCGTCCTGGTGTTAGGACACAATTTCATATTATGCGTAGCTACTTACACCTTAAAAAAATTTTAATAAAACACTCTTTGACTAATTCACTACTCTTAACTAAAAATTCGGTAATTTTAACTGAAAAAAAGGTCGTAATTTGTTAAATTATATCCTGGTGTCCTATTAGTAGAACTTTTCTAAGAAGATTGGTAATTGTAAGAATGCTGTAATTTTTCATACTTAAGATACTTAGAGTGCAATGTATTCAACCAATCTTTTTATCTGCTCAATTCAGCTCCGAAGGGATTAAATAGTAGTTTTTATTTTATTGATATTACAAAAAAAAGGATAACATTGAACAAAGTGGTTTTTCAAAAATCGTAATTGAATCACGGATATTTTTTACTGACTTTAGCAAAGTGATTAAGAGTTATAAATTATTATAAATTATTAATTATACTATAATCCTGAATTTAATTATTGAAAAAATAATTCATTCGTATTTAATAAGACTCGGAGGCACCGCTCATTACCTATGTTGCCCATTACCGTTTACCAATGACCATGTCCAAGCTTTGGATTGCTCTCCTGACCAAACTATGGGAACCATATTTCCCAGATTGAGGCTACCCCTATATTTTGGAGGTCAGAAATCCGAATCCATTGAGGAAAAAAAATATTTATTTAGAGAAAGTACGATTTTTTTTGTGTGATTTCGTAACTTAAAATATCAATTAATATGTTTAAGGTGACCTCCTCGAACTATTAAGAAGGAGTCCAAGAATGTGAAGATCCGATCATGAAATCAAAAATTATTCAGGGTGGTCCATTTTTTTAGCACTGTATTAGGAGATTTTTGAAATCTTCAACTCCAAATTTTGGTGGTAAAAGAAGCCCATTTATTACCAGGGCATTTCTTGAAGTTCCTTGAAGTTGGATTAGTTTTAAATTTTTTTGGGGGAGGGATATTTTGTTGAGGTGTTATTATTTTGATCACTTTCATTACCTCTTTATTGCATTTTTAAAAAAAACGTTGGTGTTTTAAAATAAATCAACGTTTTAACACGACGTATCATTATTTTTTGTGATTGCAGTTGTTAACAATTCTTTTTTATAAGATTTTATTGAAGGTAAATTCCTTGAATTCTTTGGTACCAGTTTACAAAGAATTGGAAAGTAATGCCAAAACTGATGATATAAAAGATCTAAATACACTGTTTGAATTATTTCGAAAAAATGGTTAAATAACAATTTATTTAATTGTTGCTTTAGCATATTCAGCAATTTAACAAATTTAACAACTTAATACAGCATTGGAGAACAAGGAGAATTTCAGAGAGCTCACAAAATTATTAGTGAAGAAATGTTCAAGGGAAAAGAAAAGTGATTCATTGGTAGATCAAACTCATTTAATATGGTACATTAATTTTTCAGTTTCATCTACTATTTCATTAGTATATATACATTATTTCAATATAAATTACCTTTTTTGTATAGCAACATCTATCTCTTTCTAGAATCTTTTGGAAAAGATTTGCAAAACAAATCAAAACAATGTTACACTCGTTTCAAAATATCGGATTTTGAAGTCTAGGTTTGTTTTCGAGAAATGATATGAATACTTCTATAACTTAAGCACAAATATTCATGGATCTTTCATTTTAAAGTACAGCCTGCTGATTTCTCTTTATTGGAACTCCTGCACACTTGCCTTCCGGCTGATTCAGATACATATTTCGAAACTTAGATCCTTTTCATATTTCAAAACTCAGTGAAACTGCTTGCTATTCACATGCACTCTGCCTTTAACTAGTTGCAAATTTCTTTAATGTGAATCGATTAATCTTTACTTCTAGAAAACATGAATCAATGACAAATGTTTTTTTCCCACAAACGTCTTTTTTATTCAGACATTTTGATTCCAGTATACTGACTTTCACAATATAATTTTACGTCTGTAAATTTATATTACGGGACTTTCTTTAGCTTTAACTTGGAGCTCTCTAAACAGCACATTTTTATATCTGTACATTTACGTTGACAACTTTCCCACTTACAGTGTTGTTGCTATGTTAAAGACAGTCACCTTTACAATTGTTTTACTGCTGCTTTGGGAACTTTACTGTTTACCGCTTTGTTAATGATGCACATCTGGACACCATCATTTACAATTCATGTTCATACATTATATTCCAAATTTTTTGCCCTGGTCAATAAAGCATGTAACATCTGTAAGTTTATAATGCGGAACATTCTTCAGTTGTAACTTGGAGCTCTGTAAACAGCACAGCTTGCATCTGTACCTTAACACCCGTGCAACTCAGAGTCACTCTTGGGGTTGTTTCATTTGAAGACCTCCTTTGTAACTATATCACAATCTATTCGTTTTCTGCTACTGATAGGACACAGACATGCATTTCGAAACTTCAGTATTCCCCGCCGGATGGGTTAAAGCTATTTTGGCGGAGCGGAATTAAATTGAATTAAGTTACCATATTCAAACAAAACAGTCAAATAAACTATAAATAAGGTGATAATCAAACTGTTAACTGTGAGAAAATCGTTTATTAATTGCTTTCACCTAATTGGGCTAAACTAACACAATTTTATCAAACCAACTAAGCTAACCTATTGCAGCCACTTAGTTTCGCGTTACTGACTACATATTAGAGTCGAGAGGGCTAATCTGATAGTCTCAAGTCCGACAAAACTGGGGTTCGAGTCCTAGCGTTGACAACCCAATAATTCTTCCAATCCCTTCAACACTTGAAGAGCTTCCAGCCCAC